GCATTAGTAGTCACGGTAAACGCCGTCCTCCTCCTTCTCCTCATCGTCGTAGTTGCCTTTGCTTTTGCTTGTTTTTGCTTTTGCTTGGGATTGCTCTTGCTTTGCCTTCGCACACACACACACGCATGTTTTTGCATTCGCTTACTGGGTGGGCTCTCTGATCGTACTGTTGCACATTGCTTTTGGTTTGCCTTTCTTTTGATTTGCTTGTGCTTTTGCTTTGCTTTGCTTTGCGTTGCCAGTGTTTTGCTGTTGCTGTTGCTGTTGCTGTAGCTTAGTTAAGCTAAGCTAAGCTAAGCTAAGCTAAGCCTTTTGCTTTGCTGTTGCTTTGCTTTTGCATTTGCTTTTGTAGTGACCTCGGCCTCTACGTGCTCGTCGTGGGACGCTTGGTAGGGACCTCGGCCACTAGTGCATGTCGTTGGACGCTTGGTAGGGACCTCGGCCACTACGTGCAAGTCGTGGGACGTTTTGTAGGGACCTCGGCCTCTAGTGCTGGTCGTGGGACGCTTTGTAGTGACCTCGGCCTCTACGTGCTCGTCGTGGGACGCTTGGTAGGGACCTCGGCCACTAGTGCATGTCGTTTGACGATTGGTAGGGACCTCGGCCACTACGTGCAAGTCGTGGGACGTTTTGTAGGGGCCTCGGCCTCTAGTGCTGGTCGTGGGACGCTTTGTAGCGACCTCGGGCTCTACGCGCTGGTCGAGGGTGTGGTGTTAATCGAGTGCAGTGCTGGTGGGGCTTGAGTGTCGGTGCTAGCGTCTCAACAGGCCGCGGGAGGAAGTTAAGGGAAAAGAACGTCGCTGGTGGGGCGTTAGTGGGGAGTTGTGTCCCCTCGCCGCTGCTGTTGCCGTTGCTTTGAGCTTGTGCTTTGCATTGCCTTTGCTTTTGCTCTTGCTTTTGCTTTTGCCTCGGCCTTCGAGCTCGACGGGGCGTCCTCGACGGGGGCTCGGCGGGGCGTCCTCGACCTGGACCTCGTCCTGCGGGGGCCCGGCGCCCGCGCGGGCCCGGCGGGAGCTCGGCGGGGGCCCAGCGCCCGTTCACTCGCAATCTCGCACGCGTCCAGGAACCGCCGTATTGCGTCTGCAGGCTGTGCAGCACTGCAGATTGGGTGTTGGATGGCGGAGAGCAACACATGTTTGTTGCCGATGATCTGGAACACGTGCGCGGAGAAAGCGCTTCGTCGGAGCTGGTGCGCTTTCTTCGTATCGCCTTGGCACCTCCCGTTGCGCAATCGCTCGTACTCCTGGACCGTTTCCGTGTTCATCCACGACCCATCGTCGTTCATCCTTTTCTTTGTGGATCTCTTGCATGTGGGAACTCGTGAAGATCGCGCGGAAGCCAGGCCTGGCGTGCGGCGCAGTTGATTCGCACGCTGCTCTTCGGCGACCCGCAAAATTCCCGCCCGGATCTTCTCGAGCACCTCCTGCAACGCTAATTCGGCGGAGGCATCGTTGCCGAAGATGGCGTTGATACGGGGCGTAGCGGGCCTGAGTACCACGTTGGAGGAGGCGGCAGGCTGTGCAGCGCTGCGCGGCGGGCTGCGTGGCGCTGCGCGGCGAGCTCCGTGGCGTGTCAATTCGGTCGTGTTGGCAGGCAGTGCAGAGAAGGTGAGCTGTGCAGCACCACCTGGCGGGGGTCTCTTCGACTTGCGCCCCTTTAAAATGTCATAGGGATTCCTCTCCTTGGCCGTGTTGGCGTCGATCCCCTTGTTGGTCAGGAATTCCGTGCCTGGCAGGTTGAGGCGACGCAGGGGGTTGTAGTCGAACTTGTCCCTTGAACGCGATCGGATGCTCACTGCTGCGCGCACTTCTTCAAACCGAGAAGCAGGCAACGCGAAGATGGCGTCATTCATCTCCTTGCGCCGGGTCTGATAGAGCGGAGCCACAAGGTTTGGCCTCATCCACTCTGCGTCGACGCTGGACAGGAGTTCTGCATCAAACCGTGTGAGGAGCACGTGGGAATAGCGATTTAAGTCGTAGGCCTTCTGGAGAACGTCCATAGCCGATTTGAACGTCTGAGTCTGACAACTACCTTTGGCCGAGAAGTGGAAGGCGACCGGAGCGGTCAGCGCAGCACTCGCCATATCTGCCAAGGTTCTCTGGGTGATCCTGCCATCGGGGAGATCTGCCACTAAGGCGATATCGATGCGAGGCTCAGTCAGGGTGTCCACTGTCAAGGGTTTGGCGGAGTTAACGACGTCCTCGAGATCTTCCAATGTGATGTCTTTGTCAGGCCCAACATCTGTGGATGACGCAGGGCGTCGAACTTCGCCTCGGTAGACAACTAGGATGCGCTTCGCATCCTGTTCACGCGAAGGGCGCTTCCCTGTGCGGGAAGGTGGGCTGTGCAGCACCACCGAGACATCCCCGCTGGCGCTGCATGGCCCTGCTGGGAATGTGGGCTGTGCAGCACCACCGCTCCTGCGGCGCCTGGCCTCAACTCGGCGAGGATCATCGGCGTGATCGTCGTCGTCGTCGCCGCGACGGTGGCGCACGCGGCCGCGCCTGCGGCTGGGCTCGCGGCGACCACCGCTTTTACACAGATCGATCACCTCCGCCGCTGTCAGAGGCCTGCCTCGGCGCGACACGGGGTGGGGCATCGCCGGCGGCCCGAGCTGCGCCAACTCATCCCAGATGTCCAGTGGCTCCAGCTGGAAATATTCGGCAACCTCGAACCACGAGTTGCACCTCTCCAGCCGGTCGTCGTCTTCATCGCGCCACCACCTGCTGTGCGCAGGGCGGAGGCGCATGTGCTGGATGACGCGGCCCTTGCCCCGCCTGATCGACAACCCAGAGTTGCCAGCTCGGTCGTTCAAGAAACTCCACAAGCACTCGAGATCGTTGTCGATCATGTGGGCCAGCTGCAAGACCCGAGAAGCAACACCCTTACCATCCCGCCCGCTCTTCTCAGACGCCAAATGGATGTTCGCCTCAGGCATCCCCATCTCGAGCAAGCCTGTGCTCCGGATCAGCCTGACGACCCACGCCTCTACCCTCCCCAGGCGGGCACGGTGCGAGTGCCACGTGCCCCGCGTCGTGCGACTGATGAAATGCATGTCCTGAAGGCCGAACTCAGCCGCGCAGAGCACAACGAACGCCCAGAAGCCCTCCTCGACAGCCGTGTACATCTCGCTGCCTTCAACCCGCTGGTCGTCGTTCCGCTTGGACGCGACGTCGCCCGCGTCGATGGCCACAACAGGCGGGGTGGGCTGTGCAGCGCCACCTGGTGCCGAGGCGGGCTGTGCAGCACCGCTGAAAGCCTCGCTCCGCCAACCTCGGGACATGAGCGTGAGCGGCTGTGTGGCAGGGCGTTCAGGCTTGAGCCGACATGGCTACGGAAGGCACTGCTTGCGGGGGCGCCGGTCCGGCCATCGAGGCTAGTTCGGCTTCTGTCGCACATTGCTTTTGCCTTGTCTTTCCTTTCCTTTGCTTTGCTTTTGCTTTCGCTTTGCATTGCTTTGCCTTGCTTGTGCTTTGCTTTGCTGTTGCTGCTGTTGCTTTGCCTTGGCTTTGCTGCTATGCTATGCTATGCTAGGCTATGATGCACTATGATATGCTAGGCTCTGCTATGCTATGTTGCGTTTTGCTATGTTGCGCTATGATATGCTACGCTAGGGTGCGCTACGTTATGCTAGGCCATGGTATGCTATGCTATGTAGCACTGTGCTACGTTATGCTGTGCTATGCTGCGCTATGCTATGGCATGATATGATATGTTATGTTATGATATGCTATGGCAATGCTATGCGATGCTAATCTAAGTTAAGCTAAGCTAGGCTAAGCTAAGCTAAGCTACAGCTAAGCGAAGCTAAGCTGAAGCTAAAGCTAAGCTAAGCTAAGCTAAGCGAAGCTAAGATGAGACATTCAAAGCTAAGGTAAAAGGGGGGGCAACTGGGGGACCCGCGGGGCGGGGACCGGGGAAACCACCCGGGGCGAAGCCCACTGCCCGTTCCCTTTTAAGCTAATAGAGTAAGAAACCTCTAAGCAGAGCCTAAGTAGGGAAAGCATAAAAAATAGTATGGGATTTATGTTGGGCTTATTTTTTGACCATTTGGGAGAATTTTGTAAGTATTCTTGATTTTTCGTAGACAATCTTCTGTAGGGGGACACGCCCGACTTAATCCTAGGAGCTTGATGGCACCTGATTGCTCTGTACAGTCGGCCTTGATTGGACAGGACACGCGAGAGGACAGAAGACCCTTCCGGGGGCCACGTTGCCACAGAAATGCAGGAGGCATGGGTCGCAAGACGCAGGACACGAGGGCACCCTTGATCTGGCAGGGTCGACCTACTAGTCCGGGCCGCCTGTAGATTGGACGGCCCTGTGCTGCCAGCCGCGTGGTGCAGCGGGGCGTCACGAGCGGCAGCGTGGCGAACCCTTGTTGGACACCCCCGGGCGCGGGGGGCGGCGACGAGGCGGCCACGGGCGGCGACGCGGGCGGATCTTCGGCGGAACGCCCGGGCGGGCGGCACGAGGCTGCCACGGGGCGGCCACCGGGCGGCAGCGTGGCGAAAGCTCGCCCGGACTCGTCCAGCGCACGAGGCGGCCACGGGGCGGCCACGGGCGGCAACGTGGCGAAGCCTCGCCGGACCCAACCGATGCGTCGGCAAGAGACGTGAGAACCTCCCGGGTGCAAGCGCCTCTTGGGGGGCAAGCCTTGCTGGGAAGGGAGGCCTTCTCGTACGTGCTCTCTGAGCGCAGGGCGCCCTCTTTTTTATTTTTGTTTCAGGTTTTGATGCACTTCAAAGTCAAGAGATCTACTGCTCCCGTTTTTGGGACACTCGTTAGTCGTTTGTGGGTCCCCGTTGCCGTCATTCTTTTGGTTCGGTCCCGTTCCGTATTGTTGTGTTCGTGTCTGTTCGTCTGGGGGTGGGGGCCGTATTTCTTTGACGTCCTGGTTGGCCGAAAACCGAAACGTTGAAACGGAAAACAAATCCCAGCGGTCTCAACATCAGCTGAGGGCCTCCCTCCCAGCAGCCGCGGCCAGCGGCCCGCTTGCCATGAGCGAGGCCTCCCGGATGGGGCCGAAGCAGATGGGGTCAGGAATCGTTCCGCATCGCGGATGCATCGCCGATGCGGCTCGATGTGGAGCCCGATGTTCTCCACGCCGAGGGCCCAGATGCATCGCCGACGTCGCCGATGCATCGGCGGTGCGGCGCGACCTTCCGACCGCATCTGCTCGGACCTCATCCGGGAGGCCTCTACGCACATGAGGAGGAAGATGCTGGCCCCGGGCCGCCGTGCCCCGCGGCAGGTGCCTCGGAACATCCGGCACGTGCTGATCGACGCCCGCCCGCTCCACCGCAACATGAGGCGCCGCCGCCTCCCTGCGGCCCGCCCTCCTTCCCCGTCGGGCGAGGGGGGAAGGGGAGGAGGGGGTGGACCCGTCGTGCGGCGCCTCCCCCCGTCCACTCTGGCATGAGCTGTGCCAGGCACGCTTCGGCTCCGTGCTCTGCTGCAGCAGTGTGCGACAACACAGACAGTGGATCGCAGGTGGCTCCATCTGTGTAGCTGTCCTTCTGCTCCATCTCCTCTTCCTCGCCTTCCTGGTCCTTGTCCTTCTCCCCTCACTCGTCCTCCTCCCGCTCCTCCTCCTCCTCACCAGTTCCTCCTCCTGCTCCCTCCTCTCTGCCTCCCTCCCGTCCCTCTTAGATTCCTCCCCATCCGAGGCCACTCAAGCACGGGTGGCCCTGGGCATCGTACCCAGTTGGGCTCGAGCTAGCCATGGAGCGCCCGGCCCATTGCCTTCTCGTGGCGCTGGCGACTTCGATGTTTGCACGGGCGTTGCCTCAAAGAAGCGCTGGGTGCATGCGCTGGGACACCCATCGCCGTGCACTGCCAAGCTCCTCAACAGAACGAAGGGTCTCAAATTGCTGACCAGGACCACCTGCAGCAAGCTCCGCTGCACTCCGACGTCCAATGCGGTAGCGACGACTACAGCGCTCTAGTCCATCACGGGAAGCCTGCGACGGCGGTCCAACCGCGCATGATGATACAGGAGGGCGCAGGAGATTCGGACTCCGCGCCTCCCACGAGACGACGCTGACCATTGTGTTGTGACTGTCGACGTCAGCAGCGAGGAAACATCATGCGACGACCTCGCGGAGGAAGGCACCGCACCCCCCCTGGTCACTCGGAAGTGCATCGACCTCCTACCCTGACACGTCGATTGAGGAATTGGCCGCTTTGGGTTTGCGAGAGGGCGTCGCGGTCGTCATTTTTGCGGGTCCAGGTCCGTCGGCCTCGGTCCCAGGCCGCTTGCATTGAGGGGAGGTTTCTTAAAGGGAGGTTTGCCCACCGCCGAATCACGAACCTCGAGACGCTGCCGATCGCAGACAGCCACGGCACTTCCGACCTCGATCAGGGTCCTAGTGCCTGCCGAGAGGCGGCCCCTGCCGAGCGCCGCACGGGCGCCCGCCCTCTGGGAGAACCCGCGTGCCCCCCCCAAGTCGCTCGCTCCTCCTCCTGGGAACGACTCCACGAGGGCCTGCGTCTGGTACAGATGCCAGGGCCCTTGAAAACTGGGGCTGGGTGGCTCACCCTGGACTTGGCCCTGACTCGTCTGGCCAGGCATCCCGATTGGCTGGGAGGAGTCCTCTGGCAAGCCTATCCAGCGCTTCCTTGCCAGCAGCTGTTGGGCGCTGGCATTCCTTCCCCGAGCTATGGAAGTGAGTGCGCCCCGAACCACCGCACGCTGCGCACCACCACCGCCCGCGCAGGCACCGAATCCTGTGGGGACTGTGGATCTGATGGGGAAGGCCTCTACGCGGGGCCGCCAGCCACTCGTTGGTGGGCAGCTGGCGGGCAGGTGCCGTCAGGCATACAGAACAACAAGAGGAGCCTCGCTGTGAAACCACCTGGTGGGTGGTAGAGCTTTGGCGGGCGTCCAGTCGTGCAGCGATTCGGTCATCACGCCGCTCTCTGCGGGCGGCAACGAAATCGGCTGGGGTCGGGGCTCCTGGGGCTCTGGCGTTAGCCTGTCTGGCCAGGACCTCCGTCATACCTACCTCGAGCAAGTGTTCCAACACCTTCTTGGCAAGCGACTCAGGGGGGAGCTGGGCGAGGGCAGCTCCTCTCTTAGCCGCCTCGTCAGCAGCCTCATTCCATCGGAAACCCCCTTCGGAGGCAAGTCGGCCTATGTCAGCCTCTGCGAGGTGGCTCTGAATCTGAACAAGCTGCGCTTCCCCTGGCCTGGCGTTCAATTCATGCCAGAATCGAGCCCATGCTGCAGCATGCAAGGGCGGGACCTGGCCTGGGCCAGCATGACTTTCTTTCAAAACGTAGGCGCAATGTGTTTGAGGGCCTGGGTGAGGCCTTCCAGCTCCGCAAGGGGCACCGTCTGGTGCCGTCCGAGAAGAGGGCCCCAGGCTTCCCCAAGGATGGCATCCTGGGACCAAATAGCAAAACCCAAGCCACATCTACCGAGCCTCGAGTCCCTGGTGTGGTCGCCTCCGCTTCCCTCAGTGCCTACAAGAGCACCTGGGGGGAGCTGTAGACGCTGATCCTGAACAACACCTCCCGAACACTCAAACCTCCATTCTGGGAACTTGTAAATGCGCGGGCAAATCCAGAGGACCAGAACGATTCCACGATGCCAAAAAAGCCCACTCCTCACGTTCGCTTTCCGTCTGCGGGAGGAGGTCAAAGGCTGTGTGCTCTGTTGCGTTAAGACATGGGCACTTCCACTGTTGATGTAGAACGTCTTCGACAGGCAGGGGTTAGAGGCGTGCAGCAGTACACCGAGGGATTTTTTGTCGATCAGGCTCGTCAGGGAAACGCCGAACTCCTGGCCACAGGGCTCCTGTAGCTATGCGCTCGAGCAGTGCTGCATGTCCATGGCGTTGCGCACGCCGATGGCCACGGATGAGCCTTAAGAGCACGGTAAGGTTTGCACCGTGCTCGAGGCCCCTGCCACAAAAATGTTTGGCTGCAAAGTCCCTCCAGATCTGCTGCTCGAATGTGCCTCGCTCGCTCCTCCGCCTCCTCCTTCTCGTCTTCCCTCCCCTCCTCCTCCTCCTCCTCCTCCTCCTCCTCCTCCTCCTCCTCCCTCCTCCTCCTCCTCCTCCTCCGCCCCCCTCCCCTCCTTCTCGTCTTCCCCCAAGTCTCTCGCTCCTCCTCCTCCTCCTCCTCCTCCTCCTCCTCCTCCTCCTCCTCCTCCTCCTCCTTCCGCCCTCCTCCTCCTCGTCTTGCCTCCCCCTCCTCCCTCCCCCCTGCGGCTCCCCCTCCCCCCCTCCTCCTCGTCCTGCTCCTCTCCAGGACGTTCGAGCCGGGCGTCCCCGTGGTGCTGCAGGACGGCCGGAAGGGCACGATCGACTCCAAGGCGTCGCCCCCCGAGGGGGCCAAATTCGGACTCGGCTCCGACCGATTGGGTCCAATCATCCCGCAATCCAGGGGGGGGGGAGGAGCCAGAAGGAGCAGGCGGGGGAGAAAGATGGGGATGCCTTCGTTTTTCTGTGCTTTCCCGCCCTTTCTTGTTTCTTCCAAGGGGCCTCCGTAGACCTCCTGACGCCAAGCTCATTTCTTCGCGCCGGCCTGAACTTAGCTCGCTTCCACTCTCTCCATGGGCGGGTACTCCGCCACTGTAAAATTTACACAGGCGCCCTCCAATCGATTGCTCATGGGCCTCAAGTGAAGGTGGCGGTGTATAAATCACCACTGGGAGCCTGTCAGCGACTTTGTACACCGCCGCCCTCCCTGAATGTAAGTGCACACTTCGTCGGAGGGTGTCTGTGTACATGTTTCCGTATCGTAGGGGCCTCGAGTGGGCAATGACATCGTATTTCGCGCGGCGCGACCGCGAAATTCGGTGGGTCTCGGTGGTGAGTGCTCCGTCTTGAGGCGGCCTGCGCGGCCCGAAAGCGCGTGGTGCATCCTCCGCTGTGAACGGGCCCCGGCCGCATGCGAGCAAATGGGCAGCCAGAACGATTTCAGAGCACACGGTTAGGAGGCGGTATTTCCTTCGCTTTGGGGTGGGCCAGATGGGTTTCGGAGAACACGGAACATGGTCATGGGGTGTCGGCTTTTTGGCCTAGGCTTGGAGGAAGCCCAGCATTCTACAACAGGCACTTCGTTCTTGCGCGGGTAAGGTAAGCACACTTTCATGGCAACTTTCGTCCAGGAGGGGCATTTCTCTCCCACTCTACTGTTCTATTCGATTCGGCAAGCAGCCTGTCTTTCGCAGACTGTAGCCCCGCAAGGGGGGCCGACGGTTGCAAACACACACACACACACACACACACACACACACACACACACACACACACACACACACACACACACACACACACACACACACACACACACACACACACACACACACACACACACACACACACACACACACACACACACACACACACACACACACACACACACACACACACACACACACCACACACACACACACACACACACACACACACACACCACACACACACACACACACACACACACACACACACACACACACACACACACACACACACACACACACACACACACACACACACACACACACACACACACACACACACACACACACACACACACACACACACACACACACACACACACACACACACACACCACACACACACACACATGCACGCATGTGTGAGCAGACCTTCGTACCCCACGATCTTATCTTCTGCTGTCTGCCTTTCCGTGTGCCTCTCTCTCTCTTTTTCCATAATCGTGAGCCCCGTGCCCCCCCCCCCTCCCGCCAGTTTCGTCTGATGCCCTCCCAACCCCCCACACCTCCGACGACTCGATTCGAGTCGTCGGTAATGGGGGTCTTGACCCCTTCCTCAAGACCAGTTTCTTACTCTGGTGATGTATTCTTTCTCAGGCCCAGGGTCCAGCAGCTGCCCCTAGACGCCGAAGGTGGCGCGAGAGCTCGACGTTTCGAGTCGCCAGACGTCTGGGTCTTTTGCCGCTTCCCCCATGCTCGGAGCAAGAAGAAGCGATGCCAATTCTGCCAGCAGCCCCCCCCCCCGTGGCGAGGAGGTCCACAATGCCTTCCCCCGCGAGAGATCAGAGATGTCTCGATCAGGACGCACACAACAGCAACGCCACACCACTGATGCTTCGATGCCGGTGTTGGTAGCTATGTTTCTTGCTCCTAAGTGCCTACGCCAATCATTTTCCTGTCGCGGCTATGCAACGTAGTCCAGGTTGTTGCTGTACAGACCTGCTGCGCTGGTGTCCAGAAGCTCAGATGCATCAAATTCGAAGCATAGCCTTGCGTTCCATGATGACTGTTTGGGGACTTGGGTTTTCTGGAAGCGGCCTTGGGGCCTGAGAGCGCCCAGCAAGCAGAATAAACACCGAGGCCCAAACGACTGCGTACACGCACCATTCAGCATTTACCGACACAGTAATGCACGGACATCTTGCAGAATCCGCTTGCGTGCCAGCCGTTCTACGCGATGATGATGTCACCAGCATGCGTTCCTCGTCATGTCATCCTCCGCGAGCCCTCGGCCCTGGATCGGGCCGCCAGCGGGGCCGTACGTACCGCGTGAAATTCAAGGACGGGCCGCTGGACAAGTTCAAGATGATCAAGAAAGGCGCCGCACGATGAGGAGTAAGAGGAGGGGGGGTGATGATGATGATGATGATGATGATGATGATGATGATGATGATGATGATGATGATGATGATGGTGATGGTGGTGGTGGTGGTGGTGGTGATGATGATGATGATGCTGATGATGATGATGATGATGATGATGCTGGTGACGATGATGATGCTGGCCATGGTGATGATGATGATGATGATGATGATGATGCTGGCCATGGTGATGATGATGATGATGATGATGCTGCTGCTGCTGATGATGATGATGATGATGATGGTGGTTGTGGTGGTGGTGATGATGATGATGATGATGATGATGATGATGATGATGATGATGATGATGATGATGATGATGATGATGATGATGATGATGATGGTGGTGGTGGTGGTGGTGGTGGTGGGGAGGAGGAGGAGGAGGAGGAGGAGGAGGAGAGGAGGAGGAAGAGGACGAGGATTGAACAAGACTGTCGAGGGCAGGGTGCATTGGAGACGGAGGAGAATGAGGAGGATAAGGCGGGGGAAGAGGGAGAGAAGGAAGGAGGAGGACGTGAAGACGAGGAGGACGAGGAGGAGGAGGGGGAGGGGGAAGAGGAGAAGGACTGGAAAGGAGGAGCGACGGAGACTGTCGAGGACAGTCGAGGGCAGGAGGCGGGGGAGGCCGAGGGAGAAGTGGAGGAGCAGGATGCGGGAATGGGAATACGAACAGCTATACGGCGGTGTCCATGTCAACAATAGATCTACGCGCCCCCCCCCCCAGAGTTTGCGAACGAATCCGGCAAACCAGACGGCGGTCTCCACGGCCCAGGGCCGAGCGGCAGGCACGGGGAGCACGAGGAACGAAGCCGATACCACGTTCGAGTGCATCACGCCAGGAGCCCTCGAGACTGACATTTCACGCTGACGCAGGTGCAGATACAACATAATAGCACAACGAGGACCGATGCACGAACCTCACAAACAACTAGTTCCATGAACACACCTGTAGCGAAGGAGACATGCCAAGCCGTCAATGCTGAGAGGCCGAAGAATTTGTTCTCGGAGTCCTACTGGGACGCTCTTGGGGACCTCTTGGCCGCTCGTGGCCGTATTGGGGGCCATGAGTCCCCTTTTGGGGTTCTCTTGGGTCATCATTGGGCAATCTTGAGGCCTCAGAGGCATACCAGAAGCGAAAGGTCCAAACGTCACAACTCACTGATGTTCTTCAGATTTCGGCATCATGGGGGTATGTCGGTAGCTGGCTTGAGCTATCTTAAAATATCTTGGGCCATGTTGAAGGCCATTCTGGTCCGTCTTGGGGCCATCTTGGACGCTCTAACTGCTCGCGGCTCCCCCCTTCCAGACCTAGGGTGAGTGGGTAGGGGGAGGGGCAGCCCCCTCCCCGAATAGGGGAGGGGGGGAGGGGTGCTTGGAAGAAGGAAGAGCAGAACTCGTCACACCACCTCCGCCCAGTTGGCTGGTGGGAGCACAACGTGTCGTGATAGCTAGATCGCGACCCGAGCCATTCCGTGACGCCGCTCCCACGGGCTCCTCGAGCCGGGCGGGCCCGCGAGGGCCGCGTGGCCCGAAGCGGGGCAGAGAGGACCCGCCGTGATCTCTGCACGACGCCCAGGGATGTCAGGGTTCTTCCCTCTCTCCTTCTCTCTCGGACGGACGGGAGCTGGCGGGGGGGGGGTAATTAATGTTCGGATGCAACTCCTGGGAGGTCAAATTCAGATTTAGCCTTGGTCCGAAATCCGGATTCATCTGGCTAGATTCCATTTAATCCGGCTTAATCCCGCTAAATCCCGCTTAATCCGGCTAGATCCCGCTTAATCCGAGGCCCGCTTTGGCGTAACAGCCCCCAAACTGTGCTTCATATTCCTGAATTCTTCCGGCGAAGACCTCCCAGTAGTTGCCTCCGAGGGTAATGCACGGGGAGGGGGACCGAGACCTGCAGGACAAGGTGCCCTCTGGAGAGGGGCCCTGCGTGGCCCCTGGGCTCCCACCGCGGGCCCCCAAAAAGGTGCACGCGAGGTGCACGCTTCGTCCTCGGGGGGGGAGGGAGGGGGATCGAGGCTTGCAGGACGAGGTGCCCCGGGCCCTGCGCGGCCCCCTTCCGCCGTGGGCCCAGGAGAGGTGCACGAGAAGTGCGCGCTTCTTCGCCCCCCGCTCCTGCCGGCGGCCAGGCCAGAGGGGGAAGCGAGAGGAGGTGGGCCTTCGCAGAAAGCTCGCGAGCCCCCCAGCCCTCCAAGGAGTTCACCAAGCCTTCCCCGAAGACAAAGAACATCTCTTTGAAAGCTGGTGGGTTTTTGAGAAGTCTCGACGCCTTCTGAGAGGGCCTTCTCCTTCTCACTTCCCCCCTCGCCCGCCCCCGATCATGACCCCCCCGTTAACGAACACCGGGTTCTCGCCTCCTCCTGCAGATGGAGGCCTCCAGAGGTTCCCAGAGGGCTCCCCGGGCCTCTGGAGGCTTCCGGGTGTTTTCAAGACGAGCCAACCGAGCAGAAGCAGCCTCGTGCTCGTCCCTCCTTCGAGAGCGAGAAGGCGGAGGAGGCGGAGGAGGCGGAGGAGGAGGAGGAGGAGGAGAAGGAGGAGGAGGAGGAGGAGGAGGAGGAGGAGGAGAAGGAGGGTGGTTATATTCCTCCCTCCCGTTCCTTTTTCCCCCCTCTCTGTTCTGCTGTCGCCCTTCCTCTTCCAAGTTTACGAATCATCTCCCAGCCAGCTGTAACATTCGCCAGGCTGCTTGCTTGATCATCCCCCCCAGGGCCGACCGGCCCCGGGGCGGAGGGCCACATCCTACGGAGCTTCATGCCGTCCGCGCACAGCTCACGGGAGGAGAAGGAGGAGGAGGAGGTGGAGAAGGAGGAGGAGGAGGAGGAGGAGGACCAGAGTAAACCAAAGGGTCATCAACGATGTTGGAATGAATCCTCCCTCCAAGCTGCCTCTTCATAGGCCCCATACAGCGGTTCATTTCCATTGAGGGAACTGCCTCGTTGGAAGACAACCGTTTGAAGATCTCGGGATTTCAACGCCACGGATCAGCCTGACTGCTGTGCCTTGACGATCCGGAATCGTGCCAGATCGCCATTTTTTGGATTTCAACATTGCGAATCAACATACTTGCTGCACCCGCATAATCCTGAATCTTTCCAAAATACCATTTCTAGTACGTTGATCATGGGAATCCAGGAAGCTCTTGCAAACGTTTACAAAAATGTGCGCGGCGCGAAGGCGAGAGTCACATTTTGAAAACGACCCGCCTTCCATCTGTGAAGCTGTTGTTTCTTCTTAAGCTATACATGGTGAGGAAGTCTCAGGCGAAACGCCAGGCCCGCCGTAAAAATGGGCCTCGGGGTGCGACAGGGGGCAAGGTATTTATAAGGAAAAGGAATGGAGGAGGAGGAGGAGGAGGAGGAGGAGGAGGAGGAGGAGGAGGAGAAGGAGGAGGAGAAGGAGGAGGCGTTGGATACGCGGGCCTGCACCAGACCCGTGGGCTGCGGGCCAGAGCGCCGCAAAGGCACTCCCCAGCAGGGCTGAGCCCGCGAGGTCGCGCCTTTCTCCTGTCGTCCCTCGTCGCCACCCTCGGCTCCCAGCCCCTGGTCGCGCGCCTGGGCGCGCCGGAGGCCGCATCCACCTGTCCACGCTCCACACTGAAGACATCAAGTGCCCCGGGGAGTTGCAAAAGTCCCAAGTCCCAGTGGGGTGGGGGGAGGGGGCAGGACGGAGCAGACTTTAGGGTCGAGGGTTTTCTCCCATGTCTGGAGGCCGCCTCGGGGCCCCAGGACGGTCAAACATCAATCCAGGGTGGAAAATTTGCCAGGATGGAGTGGGAGGGGTCTAGGGCCTAGGGACCCATTTTGAGTCGATGTTGGGTGGCACAGTGGGGTCTTCCCGAGGCTGCTGGTGATGTGCATGCGCCTCCTGCCCTTCATCCTCCTCACACCCCTCCTCCACCGCTCCTCCCCCCCTCACTCATCCTTCGCCCTGTCTTCTCTTACTGTCGTCGTCGTCCTCCTCTTTCTTCTCCTGCTTTCCCTCCTCTTTGCCCCCCCAGCTTCCTCCCTTTACCTCCTCCACCTCCTCCTGCTCCTCCTCCTCATCGTCGCCCCTCATTGATAGTCCCATCGTTGTTGCCTACGTCTTTTCATCGCCGTGCGGTCGCCAATCGTCTTGCGTCTCGCCGCCAGTTCTGTGAGCCATTGATCGTCCTCCGCGCTTACTGTAAGCTTGTTTCGGAGCAGGACGGACTGTGGACGCTGGCTAACCCCTGTCCTAACGCTCTCGCCTCCCGCGTGCTCAGGGGCGCTCGCAGGCGCTGCTGCGTCACGTCAGGGGAGCAAGCAACAAAACACGAGGAGTCATGTCAAGCGCGGGGTACCGCGATAATATTCAACCTCTACATTTAAGTCGGGTCTGTCCCTCTACAGGGGGTATATTCGAAAACACGCACAAAATACTCAGGAGATTTTTTTTGAGTATTTTTGGGCATCATTTGATTTGTTTGCGTTTTAAAAAATTGTTAGACAAAAGCCCCCTGTAGGACACGTCCGACCAAACTCTACATCCACGCCGCGACGCGAGCCCAGCATGCGCACTCAAAGGTCGCTACCATGTCCCGACCTCTGCACAGTCAGGGCTCCGACCCGCCGGGCGGCACCACCGCGCGTCACGACGATACTACGAGCCTCAGTGGAGTCACCGGCAATGCGTGCCCTCGCTTGGCAGAGTGGATGCTCTGCGCGAACGAAATGGACATGGAAAGAATGGGTACAATGCCCAGCAGCCGATCCTGTTCATTTTGAATAGGACTCGCTGTCCACGCCGCCGCGGCCTGTGTCCATTCGAGACAGAAGGCCGCCTGCCCAACAGCGGCCGCTGTTGGTTTGGGACAGCATTTGTTGTTGGGCATTGTACTTATTCTTTCCGTACCCATTCCGGGCGTCCAAAGTTGCGACAGAGTGTTCCTGCGCTCGGCCAGACAGTAACGGGGTGGAACACAAGAGAAGCGAAGACACGCATACTTTTTCCGGCACCTTGGCAATACTTGTCACGGGTAGCCCGTGGCGCCATTTTGTTAGTGCCCCGCATGTCTCTCCCAGGCCAAGGTTCACTGCGTGAGTTTGTCTACATTGCAGGTCGGCTTGTTCGGAGCTTTCTGGGTTTGCCCGGCAACTCGCTGGCTCGCATGGTGGTTTCACATCGCCTGGGTGTCGAACCCTAGTGGCCGCGCTTTTCCTCCTCCTGCTCCTTCTTTTCCTCCTTATCCTCCTCAAAGAATGATCATCCTTCTGATCCTCCTCAAAAGATGACCTCCTCGAAATGGTCATCCTTATCCTCCTCCTCCTCCTCCTCCTCCCCCTTATCCTCCTTATCCTCCTTCTCCTCCTCCTCCTCCTCCTCCTCCTCCTCCTCCTCCCCCCCCTCCTCCTCCTTGTCCTTCTCAAGAAAATTATCCTGGCGAGTGACCCAACCATGTGCAGTTGTGAGCAGTTGTGGGTATCGTCTTTGGTGAACCTCCCTATGGAGCCACGACGCGTGTGACGGGTGTGCCCAGCACGGTCACGCCTTGCGGGCGTTGCCACTGGAGCCATCGGTGGAGCCGCTTGTTGGGCCACGAAATGTGTGAGGGGTGCGCCGAAATCAAGGGTGGATCCTCATGCGGGCGCTGCCACTGGGGCCTTCGGCGGACCTCCCTCTGGGGCAGCAAAACGTGTTAGGGGTGCGTCGAAATTCAGGGTAGAACCGCATGCGGGCGTGCCTTCGGTGGAGCTCCCTACGCGGCCATGGAAACGTGTGAGGTGTGCGCCAACATTGGGGGTGGAACCGCATGCGGGCGCTGCCACTGGGGCCTGTGGTGGAGCTCCTTAGGGGGCCAAGAAAAATATGCCAAAATTGCGGGTGGATCCGCATGCGGGTGTTGCCACTGGGGCTTTTGGTGGAGCTCCTCCCTATGGGACTACGACGCGTGTGAGGGCCGCACCACAATTGAAGGTGGAACCGCATGCGGGCGCTGCCACTTGGGCCATCGGTGCAACTCCTTGTGGGGCCACAAGACTTGTGAGGGGTGCGCCGAAATTTGGGTGGAACCGCATGCAGGGCCTGCCACTGGGGCCTTCGTTGGAGCTCCCCATGGGGCCACGAAGCGTGTGAGGGGTGCGACGAAATCGGAGGGTGGAACCGCATGCGGGCGCTGCCACTGGGGCCTTCGTTGGAGCTCCCTATGGGGCCACGAAACATGCGAGGTGTGCGCCGACGTGGGGGGTGGAACCGCATGCGGGCGCTGCCACTTGGCCCTTCGGTGCAGCTCCTTTTGGGGCCACGAGACGTGTGAGGGGTGCGCTGAAATTGGGGGTAGGACCGCATGCGGGCGCTGCCACGGGGGCCTTCGGTGGAGCTCCCTACGGGCCACGAAAACGTGTGAGGGGTGCGCCGAAATGGAGGGTGGAACCGCATGCCGGCGCTGCCACTGGGGCCACTGGGGCCTTCGGTGAATGTCATTCTGGGGTCGCGCAACGTGTGAGGGTGCGCAGACATGGAGGGTGGATCCGCATGCGGGTGCTGCCACTGGGGCCTCTGGTGGAGCTCCTCCGTATGGGACTACGACGAGAGTGAGGGCCGCGCCGGAATTGAAGGTGGAACCGCATGCGGGCGCTGCCACTTGGGCCATCGGTGCAGCTCCTTTTGGGGCCACAAGACTTGTGAGGGGTGCGCCGAAATTTGGGTGGAACCGCATGCAGGGCCTACCACTGGGCCCTTCGGTGGAGCTCCCCATGGGGCCACGAAGCGTGTGAGGGGTGCGACGACATCGGAGGGTGGAACCGCATGCGGGTGCTGTCACTGGGGCCTTCGGTGGAGCTCCCTATGTGGCCACGGAGCGTGTCAGGGGTTTACCGAAACAGACATGCAGAGGGCATAGGCAGGGATGGGAGGAGGGAGCAGGGAGGGGGGAGCGGGAGGAGGAGGAGGGGGATAAACGCGGGGCGCTGCCTACTCTGAACGAGGACCCAACACCACAGGGTGATTGGGAATCAAATTATCCTGGCGAAGGGCTCAGCCATATGCAGTTGTGGGTATCGCTGTTGTGGTTATCGCCTTCGGTGGATCTCTTTATGGGGCCACGACGCATGTAAAGGGTGTGCCGAAATCGGGCGGGGACGCATGCGGGCGCAGCCATTGGGGCCTTCGGTGGCGCTCCATATGGGGCCAAGAAACGTGTGAGAGGTGTGCCGAACATGGAGCGGGGCCGCCATGTGAACGTCGCCACTGAGGCCTTCGGTGGAGGAGGTCCCTATGTGGCCACGGAGCGCTGTACTGGGTGGGGGAGGCGCATGCGAACACGGCCACTGAGGCCTTCGATGGAGCTCCCTATGTGGCCACGAAGCGCTGTACTGGGTGGGGGAGGCGAATGCGAACACCGCTACTGAGGCCTTCGGTGGAGCTCCCCCATGGGGCCACGGGACGTGGTATTTGGTTGGGGAAGCGCATGCGAACACCCCAACTGGGGCGTTCGGTGGAGTTCCCTATGGGGCCACGAAGCGCTGTGTTGGGTGGGAGGAAACGCATTCGGATACCGCATTCGTGGGGCCTTCGGTGAGGCCCGGTATGGGGCCACGAAGCGCTGATCTGGGCGAGAGGAAGCGCATGCGGACGCCACTCTGGGGCCAGGGAAACGCATGCAGATACCGCTATTGAGACCTTCGGTGGAGCTCCCTATGGGGCCGGGTGGAATGAAACGCATACGGACACCGCCAGTGGGGCCTTCCGTGGAGCTCCCTCTGGGGCCACGATGCGGTGTATTGGGTGGGGGGAACGCATGGTGCGGGAAACGCATGCTGATACCGACACTTGCGCCTTCGGTGGAGCTCCTTATAGGACCACGAAACGTGTGAGGGGTGTGCCAAATTGGACGGGGGGCGGCATGCGAACCATGCCACTGGGGCCTTCGGTGGAGCTCCCTATGAGGCCACGAAACGTGTGAGTGGTGTGCCGAAGTGGAGGGGGGGGCGGCATGCAAACCATGCAGCTGGGGCATTCGGTGGAGCTCCCTATGGGGCCACGAAGCGTGTGGGGGGTGCGCCAACGTGGAGGGGGGGCGGCATGCGAACTATGCCACTGGGGCATTCAGTGGAACCTTTTTGGGGGCCTGGACAGAACACCTGGACGACAGAACCCGAAGGAAGGTGCCCAAGATGCCTGCATGAATGCACATGCAGCCGGACCTCGCAACATCCAGGCGTCTTATCTGCGCCGCCGTTGCGAGGTGCCTCGAGACGCCACCCCGAGACACGGCCACCGGCACCAACCCCACTTCGCCGCCCGCCTCAAGCAGCGGATACCCCACTGTCCGAGGACTTTAGTTCGCCGAGCGCGTTCCACTACTCGCAAAATGCCTACTTGTAAACGTCCGAACTATTCAGGTCTCACTCTCTATGTAATCTATCGTAGATCCCCCGCGGCGGATCCAGGCAATTTGCGAGTAGTTGATTTGCGAGTAGCTGAACGCGCCTGTCCATTAGTTCCCGCACCCCCACCGTCGGGGGGCCCCTTCAAGTAGCCCCAGCGGGCCTTTCGAGGGTGGCACGGCGGGCCTGCACCAACTGTGGCTGGCCAGCCACAGGTCACCGGGCGCGTTCCACTACTCGCAAAGTGCCTACTCGCAAACGCCCGAAAAAACAATGTTACCCTCGACGTAATTTATCGTAGATCCCCCGCGGCGGAACCGGGCCATTTGCGTAGCTACTTTGCGAGTAGTGGAACGCGCTCGTCTAACAGGGCAAGAGTCTCTCCCACAGCCCCGTCAGGCTGGTGACGATCGGGCTGCCCACCCGCCTGTTTTCCTGGGACGCCA